TGTGTGTGTGTGTGTGTGTGTGTGTGTGTGTGTGTGTGTGTGTGTGTGTGTGTGTGTATGAGTAATTACCTAAGTGTAGTTACAGGATGAGAGCTACGCTCGTGGTGTCCCGTCTACCCAGCACTCTTTGTCATATAACGCCTTGAAACTAATGTGTGTGTGTGTGTGTGTGTGTGTGTGTACTCACCTAATTGTACTTGCGGTGGTTGAGCTCTGGCTCTTTGATCCCGCCTCTCAACCGTCAATCAACAGGTGTACAGGTTCCTGAGTCTATTGGGCTCTATCATATCTACACTTGAAACTGTGTAAGGAGTCAGCCTCCACCACATCACTTCCTAATGCATTCCATTTGTCAACCACTCTGACACTAAAAAAGTTCTTTCTAATATCTCTGTGGCTCATTTGGGCACTCAGTTTCCACCTGTGTCCCCTAGTGCGTGTGCCCCTTGTGTTAAATAGCCTGTCTTTATGTACCCTGTCGATTCCCTTGAGAATCTTGAATGTGGTGATCATGTCCCCCCCTAACTCTTCTGTCTTCTAACGAAGTGAGGTTTAATTCCCGTAGTCTCTCCTCGTAGTTCATACCTCTCAGCTCGGGTACTAGTCTGGTGGCAAACCTTTGAACCTTTTCCAGTTTAGTCCTATGCTTGAGTAGATATGGACTCCATGCTGGAGCCGCATACTCCAGGATTGGTCTGACATATGTGGTATATAATGTTCTGAAAGATTCCTTACACAAGTTTCTAAAGGCCTTTCTTATGTTAGCCAACCTGGCATATACCGCTGATGTTATCCTCTTGATATGAGCTTCAGGGAACAGGTCTGGCGTGATATCAACCCTCAGGTCTTTCTCTCTCTCTCTGACTCCTGAAGTACTTCATCTCCCAAATGGTACCTTGTATCTGGTCTCCTGCTTCCTACCCCTATCTTCATTACATTACATTTGTTTGGGTTAAACTCTAACAACCATTTGTTAAACTCTAACAACCATTTGTTAAACTCTAACAACCATTTGTGTGTGCGTGCACGCGTGCGTGAAGGGGCTGTCTTCCGAGAAACAACATATCAATTCCACTTCTTTACCGTTGCAGACAGACAGAGACCTTCCACCACCACCATGCCTGCCAGCTGTCTCTTCTTGCTCCTGCTCCTGCTTTGCCACGGTGAGTTACCACAAATTACATTAACTTATTAACAAACAGCTTTCAGCAGCGCCATATCTGGAGCCAATTGAATTATCTAACCTTACGAGACATGGGTGAAGGGGTTTATGGTTACCATAAATGGAGAGAGAGAGAGGAAGGAGAGAGATTAATATCCCCCTTCTTATACCATTTCATACAAGCAGCACGGTGCCCAAACCTAACACACTCTGCCCACCTCCGCCAGCACACACACCCAGGCTGCAGCCCGGTGCCCAGACCTGAGACGCTCAACTTCATCTATACAGTCTAACACGACCAAGATAAAGCATAAGATGTCATTACTTAAACTTGAGATATGAATCCTGGACGTCTACTCTATTAGATTTATTCTGGCTGGATATGTACAATGGTAGAATATCTATACTCTATCAGAATATGTATTGTCATAATATTTACTCTGGCATATTATGTGATCTGGTAGAATATATGCGCTGGTAGAATATCTACTCTGGTAGATAATGATGCTAACCAAATGAGATCAGTCATTATCTAATATTATTCCAATCATCAACATTTATCAATATATGCACAAGGAGCCAGAACATCATTTGTGTGTTAGTGTTTAAGACCATTCTCACATTTACAAAGGATTGTAAACCAGCCAATGACAACTATAGATCCAAACGAAGTTGTTTATTTAATTAATAATGTTGAGTGTTGCCTGCTGCAGGGTGTGGAGTGGTCGGAGGCCAGGAGTCAGAGGACCAGGGAGCACCCAGCCTCAAGGGGGCGACGACGGGCATGGAGGAGGTGGTGGTGCCCGCCGGAGCCAACCTCACCCTGGTATGTGAGGGTGACAGCGTCCTCTACTGGTACCATGAGGTGAGCCTGCTCTTGTCCCAACCCGTCCTATTAAAAATAACTTCACTTTTGGCTCGTATGCGCACTATGGCCAAATTTGGACGTAATTTGAAATGAAATCGACTCACAAAAGTGACGTACTGTTCCGTTTTCTGTTTGAGTCGTCCGGCCCTCCTCGGACAGCTTAGAAGAGGAACTTTCAATTTAAGTTTTTCATAACGTTTTGAAACTTTATAAGAATTTCCTGCCCACCTAATCTATTAGAGGACCCTTAACTTACTGTTGTTGAAAAAAAAATCCCAAATTTATTTTCAATTTTTTTTCATTTTCAAATTACGTCCATACGGGTAAACGGCCAAAAGCGACGTTCTTTTTAAGAGGACAGGTTGCGGGCAGGAAAGGGAACAGACAGGATCTTCTACTTAAGCAGGAGATTACCATAACATTTTTTTTTTTATAATATTTCAACATTTTTATATAATCCATCAATCACGAAAACTAGTTTTATGCAACATTTAAGGTTACCCCAAGATCTCACATTTTGTTTAGCCAACATTGTGCAGTAAGTTGTGGCAACCTATTTACGACTTTCCACAATAACGTATCTACTACGTGAAAACAAACGTTGCCACTGCTTTCAACCACTTTCCAGGTACGCTGTGGCAACCGAAAATTGTTTGCTGGGTTATTACTGTGATAGTGATTGAGGTAAGAGTTAGAGTTGTTGTTTTAGATTTAGCAACTCTGAACGAAATATGTCCATGTAGCACGGGCTCTATAGTGAGTCCGTAATGAGGTAGAGGTTCACGAGAGTAATTAAGGTTGTGTTTGGTCAGGTGAGAGAGGGTGAGGTCTCCGTCGACACCGGCCCCGTCAACTGCTCGACTGTCTCCATCTACACCGGCCCCGTCAACTGCTCGACTGTCTCCGTCGATACCGGCCCCGTCAACTGCTCGACTGTCCCCGTCTACACCGGCCCCGTCAATTGCTTGACTGTCTCCATCTACAATGGCCCCGTCAACTGTTCGACTGTCTCCGTCTACGCCGGTCCCGTCAATTGCTCGACTGTCTCCATCTACAATGGCCCCGTCAACTGTTCGACTGTCCCCGTCAACTGCTCGACTGTCCCTGCCTCCTGGGTCCGCTCCGGCCCCGACGCCTCCCTCTATCTCACCATCCACGGTAGGGACACACCTCTCTTGTCATTTTTAATGTAATAATCTCCATCGAGGTCTGATAAAGACATGTTGAGCCCTCTGCAATAATTTTTTGCGCTGCCGGTCACAGGATGAGTATGGGGTGCACTATAAAGTAGCCGCCTGTGGTCACAAGAATCAAATCTCTAGTTGTGTGTGTGGTCGTATGTGTGTGTCCTTGTGTATAGCTGTGTAAGAACTCGCCAATATTGTATACACCTGCACTGATGTGTGTATGTTCATACATGTTTTCACCTGTTTTAAGTTTATCATAGCACGTTAGCAGCTTTTGGTGGGTAATACATAAAAATGTACAAATGAGTCTTGTGGTACAGTGATCTATGTTCTAGACTCGTAATCGGGTATCTTTGGGTTCGATCCTCGGACGGGACAGAACTGGTAACAGCAGCTTCCCCTGTGACTCTGTAATATCTCCATTGCTCAAATATGTATTAGCGATAAGACCTATCATTAATGTATAATGACTTACTGTAAATATATAGCTCTTGAAATAGAACATTCTCTGTAACTAGCTGCCACTGTAATTATAAGGTGTGAAGGACAGATGAAATTGTTAGTGTAATTATCACCACTGAGGTCTGATTAAGACCTTTTGTGCCTTCTATAATACCTTTTTGCGCTACCGCTCACAGGATGAGTATGGGGTTCACAATAAACAAGCCGTCTCCGGCGGCAACAATCAATATTTATTTATTTATTTATTTATTTATTTATTTATTTATTTATTTATATACAAGAAGGTACATTAAGTTTGTGAGAATACATAGCATAGTACAGTAATTGCACTCTTGTAAAGCCACTAGTACGTGCAGCGTCTCGCGCAGGTCCTTAATCTAACAGATAATTTTAAGTAGGTAAATTCTATCAGAATTAAATCTGGTTGGGCAGAATATCAATCTGGTTGGGCATGTTTCCTTAATCAGGTCGCCGGGAGTATGGCGACAGTTGTGGGTTGCATCCAGTGAATTGTAAGTAGTTCCAACTGAGTACTGGCCTAGGGCGTCAGTACTAAGTTGTTACTGTCGAGGCGCCTGACAGCTGAGTGGACAGCACTTCGGATTTGTAGTCCTGAGGTTCCGGGTTCGATCCCCGGTGGAGGCGGAGACAAATGGCCAAATTGTTTCTTTCAACATGATGCTCTGTTACCTAGCAGTAAATAGGTACCTGGGAGTTAGACAGCTCCTACGGGCTACTTCCTGCAGGTGTGTAACAAAAAAAGGAGGGCTGGTCTAGGACCGGGCCGCGGGGGATGCTAAGCCCCGAAATCATCTCAAAATACCTGTTCCTGACACCGGGAATTATTATTATTATTATTAAATCTGGACAGATGGAGGGCCTGAGGAGAGCGCGACGCTGACTGGCGGAGGAGGGGCGCCGCTCATCCACCTTCCCGCGCTCCCTAACATCACTCTCTGCCTCTATAAGGACGGCGTCCAGGTCAGTACACTAACTGCTCTCTCCTTCGTCTGCACTCTCGCCTGTCACGCTAGTCCATCTGTCACACTTGTCACATGTGTCATGCTTGTCACACACCAGAGAATGAACAACGACAAAAACAGGAAAACGAAGCATAATCGGTCAGTGTCTTCCTGGACTGTCAGAAGACATCTACAATAATAATAATAATAATAATAATAATAATAATAATAATAATAATAATAATAATAATAATAATAATAATAATAATAATAATAATAATAATAATAATAATAATAATATTTGATTCATAAAATGTACAGAGGATCAGATTGCATTAATTATAGTAATATATATAATATTTGTATGGTTTATAAGGCCAGTAATTGTGCTCAGATTTGCGGCCATCAGTTCCACAAAAAAATTGTTTTACAGACTTAAGAATCAAGATGCAGGACGACCTGGGTAAGCTTCAGATATAGTCACAGAAATGGCTTCTAGACTTCTGGGGGTACCCAGCGGTGCCCGGGTGCCTTCCTCCTCTTCTCGTACTCTTTGTCCCCACCCCTTCACCCTCTCCTCTCCCGACCATTTCCGTTCCCCATTTGACACTTCCCCTTTGTCATCCCCCCCCCCACGTCCTTCCATATCAACCTTTCTCCATCTTTCCCCCTCCCACCTTTCGTCTCGTCCTCTCTTCCCCTTTCCCCCCTCAATCCCCCCTCAGATTATCCCCTCTTCCCTTTCATAAAATATAGTACTATGAAGAAATGAAATCAATTTATGTATTTAAGAAAAACATTTCGCTGATGACGGAAAAGTCTTGGGACATCTGAACGAATGTTTCACACTTGAACAGATCTGTGAAAAATCGGGATGGAGTGAATAATTAATAATATTTCTTAAATACACAGAGAAGTCACATTATCGTGATATATCAGCGAACAAATCCACAGGGCCCGCCGATGAGGGTTCGAACCTAAGCACTGAGTGTTCCCAGATCTTAAACTATATAACTTAAGTCTACTGCGACCAGCCTATGTCCCTCCCATACCCCAGACCATTTCCCCTACAAATTTGGGTAAGACCTACCTCCAAGCATGCGGCCTCCAACTTTGAAAAAGACAGACGTTCTCTGTTATAGTATAAATATATGATTGAGCTTGGTTGGGTATAAATAGGAGCTGTCTCGCATGAGTTAATGATTTGTTCTCATGCAGGCGATGAGTCACAATAACGTGGCTGAAGTATGTTGACCAGACCACACACTAGAAATTGAAGGGACGACGACGTTTCGGTCCGTCCTGGACCATTCTCAAGTCGATTGTCTATCGACTTGAGAATGGTCCAGGACGGACCGAAACGTCGTCGTCCCTTCAATTTCTAGTGTGTGGTCTGGTCAACATTTGTTCTCGTGCTCTTATATTCCTGTCACTGACATCCATCTCTCATCCATCTCAAGATGACTGATCCTCCGCCATTCGACCCAAGAAAGGGATTCGAGCTGACAACTGTGGAGACGGAGAAGAGCGGACCCTATGAATGCACAGCGAGACAGCAGGTTGATGGGGCCGCGACGGTCACCCTCAGCAGCACTAGGGGTAAGTGGAAATGTTATATAGTGCGGCCGAGATCAAGTAGAAGCGGTGCCAAGGTTTGTCATCAAGGAAAGGGGTGGGGGGGGGGGGGGCTTTCGACAAGCCGCTAGCTTCTTGTCTTCGTCGAGGCCACTAGTGTTAGTGGTACTCAGGTAAACTCAAGGTGTAATAAACTCCTTGTGTTAGTGCTCTGTAAGGTAACGTTAAGTATAGTTGTTATGGCTACGTCTCTAAGCTAGCATGATATATGAGTCTTGGAAATAGATTTAAAAAAACTCTAGACTGTAACTTGAGCGTCAGAAAGCGTGCAAAAATGAAGTCATCAGATTAGGAATTAATTGCATTGGATGCATATAATTATTATTCATTTATTTATTTTATTTATATATATATATATATATATATATATATATATATATATATATATATATATATATAAGAAGGCACATTGGGATTGTGAGGATACATAGCATAATAATTACATTCTTGTAAAGCCACTAATAAGCGCAGCGTTTCGGGCAGATCCTTAATCTAATTAATTGAGGCCAGAAATAAGAATGCAGTTTGGTGGACAGTCAAAGACTGGAAGCTTGAGGAGTAAGTCAAGACTTGTGCTGTGCCAGTTAAAGACCATTGGTAATACCCGGTGCAATGGGAAAAGTTTGACCGGAATCAGGAGTTAAGGTGGAAAGTCCTTGTGCGATCAGAGCCGTCGACCTGGTCACCGCGGCCTGGCGGCGTCTGCCTCACTCTTTGTACCCTAACTTTACCCATCGTTGGAGCCGGTGGCTGAGCGGACAGAACACTGGACGCGTGATCCTGTGGTCCCGGGTTCGATCCCGGGCGCCGGCGAGAAACAATGGGCAGAGTTTCTTTCACCCTGGATCTCCTGTTACCAACCAGTAAATAGGTACCTGTGAGTTAGTCAGCTGTCACGGGCTGCTTCCTGGGGGTGGAGGCCTGGTCGAGGACCGGGCCGCGGAGACACTAAAGCCATGAAATCATCTCAGGATAACCCTCAAGATAGATCGTATACATGACAGAGTAATTTGAAGAGTTGCGGCTTAAAAATATCCCCGTTTTCTATGTATGGGTAGGTTAGGTTAAGTGGGGGGTTGGGTTTGTGCGTTTCTGGTTAGGTTACCATTGTATTTTCTACCGTTGGGGTAAATTAAGAGGACTAGCTGCATGGTGACCTTACTAGCAAAAACCCGCTTGCCACACTCCTTGTTCCACCTCGCCTGCCACACCCCTTGCCATACCTCGCTTGCCATACCTCGCTTGCCATACCCCTTGCCACATCTCGCTTGCCACACCCCTCGCCATACCTCGCTTGCCACATCTCGCTTGCCACACCCCTCGCCATACCTCGCTTGCCACACCCCTTGCCATACCCCTTGCCATACTTCGCTTGCCACACCCCTTGCCATACCTCGCTTGCCACACCCCTTGCCATACCTCGCTTGCCACACCCCTTGCCATACCTCGCTTGCCACACCCCTTGCCATACCTCGCTTGCCACACCCCTTGCCATACCTCGCTTGCCACACCCCTTGCCATACTTCGCTTGCCACACCCCTTGCCATACCTCGCTTGCCATACCCCTTGCCATACCTCGCTTGCCACACCCCTTGCCATACCTCGCTTGCCACACCCCTTGCCATACTTCGCTTGCCACACCCCTTGCCATACCTCGCTTGCCATACCCCTTGCCATACCTCGCTTGCCACACCCCTTGCCATACCTCGCTTGCCACACCCCTTGCCATACCTCGCTTGCCACACCCCTTGCCATACTTCGCTTGCCACACCCCTTGCCATACCTCGCTTGCCACACCCCTTGCCATACTTCGCTTGCCACACCCCTTGCCATACCTCGCTTGCCATACCCCTTGCCATACCTCGCTTGCCACACCCCTTGCCATACCTCGCTTGCCACACCCCTTGCCATACCTCGCTTGCCACACCCCTTGCCATACCTCGCTTGCCACACCCCTTGCCATACCTCGCTTGCCACACCCCTTGCCATACCTCGCTTGCCACACCCCTTGCCATACCTCGCTTGCCACACCCCTTGCCATACCTCGCTTGCCACACCCCTTGCCATACCTCGCTTGCCATACCCCTTGCCATACCTCGCTTGCCACACCCCTCGCCATACCTCGCTTGCCACACCCCTTGCCATACCTCGCTTGCCACACCCCTTGCCATACCTCGCTTGCCACACCCCTTGCCATACCTCGCTTGCCATACCCCTTGCCATACCTCGCTTGCCACACCCCTCGCCATACCTCGCTTGCCACACCCCTTGCCATACCTCGCTTGCCACACCCCTTGCCATACCTCGCTTGCCACACCCCTTGCCATACCTCGCTTGCCATACCCCTTGCCATACCTCGCTTGCCACACCCCTCGCCATACCTCGCTTGCCACACCCCTTGCCATACCTCGCTTGCCACACCCCTTGCCATACCTCGCTTGCCACACCCCTTGCCATACCTCGCTTGCCATACCTCGCTTGCCACACCCCTTGCCACACCCCTTGCCATACCTCGCTTGCCACACCCCACTTTTGTCTTATTTTTACATATGTATTTTATGCTATATATATCCGAGTGCAGCCATTAAGCCTAACTCGGCCCGCACATGCGCAGGAATCCTTATTCAGAGTCAAGACTCATCATGCACTTATGTGTTCACTGACGACACCTGTGTATCTCAACTAATCGTTGCGACTTTATTTGTATTTATGAAACAGTTAACGAGGTGTGAATGGCTGCGAGTCCGGTCTCGGCCCCAGAGGTTTCCATCGCCCAACCTGTTCTCGCACTTTCGTATAGTCAATATTGACTTATTAAATACGTGCATATGTGACATACTTATTTATTGTGACTATTTTAGTTTACCTTGAAAAACTTCATAGAAAACACCGACCTTACCTAACCTACTACCTTACCTACTAAGAAGGTTAGGTAAGGTCAGTGTTTTCTATGAAACTTTTCAAGGTAAACTAAAATATTCACAATAAATTAGTATGTCACATATGCACTTATTTAATAAGTCAATATTGACTGTAAGAAAGTGCGAGAACGGGTTCCATCGGAACAGACAACCTCGCAGCACATCGGGGCTCGTATACTCCGTTTAATAAATACAAATCGAAGTGGCCACGAATGAGTGGAAAGATGTACAGGTTTCGTAAGTGGACACGTAAATGTGTGTGTGATGAATCGTAGTCCAGTATCCGGATTTATAAAGCAGTTACGCAAGCACTTACGAACCTGTTCATCTTTTTTCAATCTTTGGCGGCTTTGTTCACAATTATTAAATAGTTAATGAGCTCTGAAGCACCAGGAGGCTGTTTATAACAATAACGACAGTTGATTGGCAAGTTTTCATATTGGTAAACTGTTTAATAAATGTAACCAAAGCCGTCCAAGATTGAGGAAAGATGTTCACGGTCGTAAATACTTGCGTAACTGCTTCGTGAATCTGGGTGGATCTAGATATTTATATAACCATGCGGTGTTTTGCATGGAGAATGCAAGGCGAGGGATGAGTATTGGACGGTGTTGATGTGGCAGGCGCGGACGGCGGGGGACGAGGGCTCTGTAAACACAACAAACATCCTAATCTCAAAGCAACCGAGAACCAGTACTTCGTCCGCGGGTACAACATCACACTCAAGTGCATCGTCAGAACGTCCAGCAGGATCGAATTTGATTGGTCGGTACCGCCAAGTGCTTGTGAGGTGAGTGTTTTCAGATCCACTGTAAGTGTGTAGGAGTTGTGAGTGTGTTAACGCACTTAAACATTCACTTGTCCCGTGTTGTGGGAGGATGTGGTCACTTGACCCATAGTTTAAGGACTCAACCCCACAAGAGGGTCATTTAGGTCAGCACAATATCTCACTGAACAACCAGCAAGCATACTTTAGCCCTAAACATGGTTCAGGACTAAAGTAGTGGGTGTGACAGCTTATATAGGCTTAGTGTAAAGCCAGTATATATTATCCCTCATAATACTAGGCTTTGGAAATTATAATGAAAATATACGTTATTGAATAGCTTTCTTAGAATAATATGTTGTTGCTTTATATTGGCTCTTGATTGTATTAACTGTGTTTTGGACGGTAGAACGACGGTCTTGCTTCATGGAGGTCGGTGTTCAATCCCCGACCGTCCCTCAAGTGGTTGGGTACCGTTCCTTTCCCCTCCCGTCCCAAATCCTTATCCTGCACCCCTTCCAAGTGCTATATAGTCGTAGTGGCTTGGTGCTTTCCCCCCCTGATAATTCCCTCCTTTAATTCACCCCTGTTTACTGGTTGTTGCAAACTTTGCCAATGATGACTGAGCAAGTGGTCTGTTTCAGAGAGTACGTGTAACAAATGACATCGATAATCGTGACCAGAGAAGCACTCTGGAGGTGGTGAACGCTAGCCTCGCTGACTCTGGAAACTACACCTGTTACGTCGACAACTGTCCCGACTCACAAGTGGTCGCTGTACAGGGTGAGTGTATATATGGTCCTTGAGGTTATCTTGAGATGACTTAGCGTCCCCGCGGCCCGGTCCTCGACCAGGCCTCCTTTTTTTGTTGTACACACCACCAGGAAGTAGCCCGTAGCAGCTGTCTAACTCCCAGGTACCTATTTACTGCTAGGTGAACAGGAGCACCCGGGGTGAAAGAAACTTTTTGCCCATTTGTCTCCGCCTCCATCGGGGATCGAACCCGGAACCTCAGGACAACGAATCCGAAGCGTTGTCCACTCAGCTGTTTCCATATAGGATGGGCAGCCCCGCCTGCTCCATCCTATATGGTAACGAATCATCACCCTCAGACCTGATGTGTAAAAGATATCATCAGGCCTTTACCTGATGATAACTCAAGTTAAATGATTTTGAACCCCTTTAAACATATTACTTATGCATTTTGAGCTCTCTGTATTAGACTCATCCCAAATTTAACCTCTGCTACGTATGAAAATATATATGAATCATTTAATCAATCAATATATACTTAACAAAACTGAATTATACAAACAGTTTTATCGTTATTTGATATGTTTGGGGTTTCACAAAAGGTTTTTAAACACATATAATATAATATATTTTTTAAATGTCATTATTTTTGTTTTTGGTCCACAGAACATCTGGCGCCATTCATCAATCTAACGGAGGAAATATCTATTTTAAACCCGATTGAGAGCGAAGATGTTTTTGGTTTAGCCAACTTGCACGTGTTCCCGCCCGACCCTATCATTGTCCTCCAGAACTGGAATGGCTCAGAGGTCCAGCAAACAGACCGGGTATATATTACACTCTTGCTGCCTTAACCTGCGGTACTAGAGGCTCTCTTAGCGTGGAGGTACTAGGCTGTCTTAACCTGCGGTACTAGAGGCTCTCTTAGCGTGGAGGTACTAGGCTGTCTTAACCTGCGGTACTAGAGGCTCTCTTAGCGTGGAGGTACTAGGCTGTCTTAACCTGCGGTACTAGAGGCTTTCTTAGCGTGGAGGTACTAGGCTGTCTTAACCTGCGGGTACTAGAGGCTTTCTTAGCGTGGAGGTACTAGGCTGTCTTAACCTGCGGTACTAGAGGCTTTCTTAGCGTGGAGGTACTAGGCTGTCTTAACCTGCGGTACTAGAGGCTTTCTTAGCGTGGAGGTACTAGGCTACGTTCCTGGGGCCAGATTCACGAAAGCACTTACGCAAGCATTACGAACCTGTACATCTTTTCTCAATCTTTGGCGGCTTTGTTTCCAATTATTAAACAGTTAATGAGCTCCGAAGCACCAGGAGGCTGTTTATAACAATAACAACAGTTGAATGGCAAGTTTTCATGCTTGTAAACTGTTTAATAAAAGTAACCAAAGCCGTCAAAGATCGAGGAAAGATGTACACGTTCGTAAGTGCTTGCGTAAGTGCTTTCGTGAATCTGGCCCCTGGCCTCAGCGCCGATGACTACGGAAACTACAGCCTGCAGGTGACAACCAGAGATGGCGCAGTGAAGCAAAGTTTACACTTCTTCCTGAGTGTGTTGAGTGAGTGGACGGTGTTAGTGTCACTTGAGTCATGCCATGACAGGTTATGTCACGGCATGACATAATCCTTTCGGTGTTATTCCGCACCGAAAGGAAATTACGATCATGTTAATGGTTCATATTAGTCATGAACCTTAGATTTGGAAGCGTATTTTAGAAGCTTTATTTAAAAGTGATTTATACAAAATCATTACAGCTGTGGCTGGTGTACAGCTGTGTTGTTATATGAACAACAGTGAAGTGTTGTTCTAAATACATGTATACTTCCCTCGCTATAATGGGTGGTGGTGTGTAGTGTTCACAGGACATCTGTCTAGCGAGAACTGGTCTGTGTGGGGCACCCTCTTGTCTACACTTCTTATGTAGCCTAGCCTATTTTTTTTTATCGCAACTTTAACATATAAACCCAGATTTCTTGCCGGTAAACCAAGATTTTGTACATGTAAGCCAAGCTTTAATGTGGGGTAACGCAAGCTTTATTGAGAGTAAACCAAACTTTATTACATGTAAATCAAGATTTATTTCAGTTACACGAAGAATTCTTGTCGGTAAAGCAAAATTTTCTTACAGGTAAACCAAGACTTGTTTCGAAAGGTAATACGTCTCGCAGAGTAAGAGCTGAGAGTGTGATAGAGGAGCAGTGCGACGTCCAAGGCTTTCCTCTTCCTGATGTAAACTGGACCTTTCAGCCTTGTCAACTGGGCCTCAATAATTGTTCGCAGGAAACGTATGATCCTGAGGTAAACATTACATTACATTAATTCTAATTTATGCTATAATATTAATACATTCCGTTTTGTTTATATATTTGTCTATGGCTACTGTGAGTGTCTGCGTGATCTATACATGAGAATATTGCTCTAGCTCTCGGGTACCTATTTTACTGCTAGGTGAACAGAGGCATTAGGTGAAAGGAAACATGCCAACTCATTTTTGTAACGTCTGGTAATCGAACCCTGGATCCTTGATTGTGAATAGAGAACGTAGCCAATTGTACTACTAATTTGGTTGGTACTAGAATGAATAAACAACATTCTCCCTTCCTCCCTACAATGAAGGTGTTTGACTGTGAGGTATAGGGAGGGAGATTTAGACTGTGAGGTATAGGGAGGGAGTGAGGGAGACTCCCTCGTACAGGGAGATAACGGGACAGACAAACGGACAGAGACCTGGGCACCGCCGGACACTCCCTTTAGTAATAATGTAAAATAACATTCCAGTTAATAGCCTACTTGCAAACCAGCATACGTCTGGTTATTATGAAAACACTAGCATATGTTCACTGTTAAATTTGCATACCCATTCCTTACTGCAACATCTTAGAATAAGCAAAAACTCTCTCTTATAAATAATTAATTATACAACGATGGTATGCAAAATATATACAAGCTATTTTAATAAAGTTATGACCAAGGCTTAAGCTTAGTTCATAAGCTAGTTACGTAGTTTAATCTATATATCGACAATGGTTCAGGAACTTGAATCCGGGACTAGAACAGTCTCAGTGTTAACTATATCAATAATTATCTTACTTTGAAATTATAATACGTTATATAAATTGTCATAATGTCGTAATGTCATAACCTTAATGTCATTGTCATGTCATAATGTTGCAAAAAGTAAATATTGAGTTGTAATTGTGACATTCTCTCCAGAGTGTTGGTGCTGATGTTGAGAGACATACTTCAGGGGCAGGAAACATACTGAGCTCAACATTGTCCAGCTTCAAGCCTAATGTATCAGGAATCCTCAGCTGCTCTGGTCGCAATATTAACGGCAAAGTTGTCTCAACCTTTGATCTTCGTCTCAGTGGTTTGTGAACGATCTACAAGTCTAATTTTATTAAAGACGTCTCTTATCAAGTGGCTACAAGAACGCTGTAGATGTTTAGTGTATGGATAAAGTGTTAGTGGGTGCATGTTTCTTCCTTGCCAAGTTTAGTCTGCAATGTTTCAGTAGATATCTCACGAACGCCTCATTAGAATTGTTACAAACTTGAAAGTAGACTAATTGATTGATTGATTGAAGATTAAGCCACCCAAGAGATGGCACGGGCATGAATAGCCCGTAAAGAAGAAAGTAAACAAACAATACATAGTTCATGACTCATCCTGCTTGTTAAGAGACTACACAACCACTATCTTTTTAGTTTACATTTTCTTGAAAATGTGTTGTTCGTAACAAATTTTATTTATTTACCAATTATATTTTTTTCAGACATGGACGAAGAATTTGTGTTCTGTCGTGAGCAAGGAAACAGATGCGCATCAATATTAAACAAAGCAACAATTGAAGTTACGGAGGGCGAGTCCCTGGTGGTGAGGTGTGCCGGGTCCAAGTTTGTTTACCAGGACGTGTCCCTCTCCGGACCCCCTCACCGTGAGTGTTCTCTCCTCTCTCCTCTCCTCTCCTCTCCTCTCCTCTCCTCTCCTCTCTCCTCTCCTCTCTCCTCTCCTCTCTCCTCTCCTCTCTCCTCCCTCCTCTCCTCTCCTCTCCTCTCTCCTCTCCTCTCTCCTCTCTCCTCTCTCCTCTCTCTCTCTCCTCCTCCTCCCTCCTCTCGTCTCCTCTCCTCTCTCCTCTCCTCTCTCCTCTCTCCTCTCTCCTCTCCTCTCTCCTCCCTCCTCTCTCCTCTCCTCTCCTCTCTCCTCCCTCAACTATTTATTATACTCATACATTTTCTCGCACTCACAGTATAAACAATAACTAAAAACTGTTGGAAATTCAGAAGCCGCCATTTCTGAAGTATTTCACGTGTCTTTCCTCACAAGCCAGGAGGCAAGGGAATGGTCGATAATGGCGCTGTCTGTATTTCAGTGGCTCCTGTCTCCTTTCTTGTATAAATGAATTACATTGCCCCTCATATCTCTGGCAGTCCATTCGATGGTAGCGATCTTCTAGTCTTTCACTAGACTGGCTCCATTCCTCCGGCGGTCAGCACAGTTGGGTTGCAGCTAAATGGCCCCAGGTTCGGTTCCCGCTGTAAACAGAGAATTTGAGCAACGTTTTCCTTTCATATGATGCAAGTAAATAAGTGCCAGGGAGTTAGTGACGTTTGTGAGTTGCCTCTTGGGAAATATCAGCAATTTGGCCTAGGGGGAACTTCGGTAAGCTTAACACGTTTCATATTCCCGACAATGGGAACCATTATAAATATTTCCTGAAATCTTTCATTATGCCTAAACACGCTTCCGTGATATTTACTGTAAAGGCTCTTGTGTAGTGTGATTACCTGTTCGTTCACCGTCGGTTTCCTCATGTGGCTGTGTGTAAGTTTGGCTTGATCTTATCTCTTGTACAATGTCACTTTCATATTGCGTCTCTTCTTACTCTCACACTAGTTCCTCTCTCTCTTATATGTGCTGTAGTTCTCTATTGGTCTCTTCTCTCCATTTCCTTTCAAAACCATCTTGCTCCTCCATTTTGTCTCAGGTATGTCTCTTTCGAACAAGGCTAGTTCTTTTACCTCATTCTTGCCGAAGTCCTGTTGGTTGTGTGAACTTTGATCTGTATTTCCCACTAGGAATTCTCCGACTTCTTTAAAGTCCTCTTTGCCATACACTAGTCTTTTTCTATCACCTCCCCTCTTCTGACCTAGTAGTTGGCTCACACACATTAACGTTTTCTGTACGTGGTCGAAAGGTTAGAGCGTTTTAGTACACCATTTTCGGTCCATTGTGGGAACTCGGGAGGACGGGCTGGATGAACGGGTCTTATTCTCGTGTCCTTTCTAATATGTTGAGTCGGGAAGTTCATCTCCGCGGTATCTACAAGATTGCCATTCATGTCTCTTCTCCTTCCTGAGGATTCCATATTTTCCAATGTATTCTTCGGTGATGGAAGTCGCCAATGGCCAGTAACTTTGCTCTCACATACGATGTTCGCTTTACGCAGCCTACTGGTATTTTTCTTTATTAAATAATATACAATATAAAGATCATATTTACATCAATTTACAAGGGAAAATACTACATTTATATATAGTTTATATAATTCTCAGTAAACCAATTTTTCATATCATCACAGAGCATGAGCCGTAAACCCCAAATGTTATACTTGATCCTGCCTCGCAAGAACTTCAATATTTTGTCTACTGAGTAACCCTCCTGCCTGCCTGCCTATCCACACAAAAAATGTAATCAGAAAGTACCATAATTATTGTATTTTTAATTTTCTTGCATTTTATGTCAATATGAAACATTAAAAACCTCATTAAATCCACTCTAATGCTTGGTCCACATAAAGCTTTAAGAGTGTCTGTAATCCAGTTTACAAGAACAACTTTCTGCTTACAGAAATAAAATATATGGATATTATTCTCAATTTCAGTACATTGGTCACACCTATTGTTGTCCTTAATTCCCAACATCAACGATACAATAATTCACGTTGTTTGGGGGGCAATAAATTTAACATGAAGGTTTGTCCATATTAATTCCAGTTAAAGAGTGGATATGTCTCCTTTACTCTAGGAACTACATGTGGGAACAGAACATCATACACTTGTTTACTGTTCATCATTAAATAAAACCTTCAATATTACAAATCCCCCTGAGAACATCAATTGCACATGAATTAAAGTTAGGTGAAATAAAGGCAACCTGGTCAGCTGATTATATCCTTCACCTGTGGAGGTATCATTATCCTCATCATCGTTGTCATGAGACTCTCCAAACGAGTCAAAAAGGAGAAACAATTCCGCATGGCCTTCCGCCAAAATGAGTTGTACTTGTTTCAGAAAGGAAATATTTGTCAGCTTAACCGGGACTGTACAGCCGACGAGCAAGCTGAGCTCCTGCCATACGACCAGAAGTGGGAGGTGGCGCACGAGGACATCCATATATGTATGTCAAGACTCAACTTTAGAAACTACCGTGTTGACAGTATGCTTGCATAGTAGATGAGGCTTCGTCTGTAAGGGCCTTACAAGCGAAGTGGCATCTATTATCATTCTCCTCTCTTCTGGGCGGTTCTCTTCTGGGCGGTTCTCTTCTGTGCGGTTCTTTTCTGGGTGGTTCTCTTCTGGGTGGTTCTCTTCTGGGCGGTTCTTTTCTGGGTGGTTCTCTTCTGGGTGGTTCTCTTCTGGGCGGTTCTCTTCAGAGTGGCTCTCTTCTGGGTGTTAAACAAGAAAAGCGCTCGAAGCCAACCTGTGGTGGATAGGCCACCGAACTTTTTTAGCTTCCTCATTTTCTATCCACATAGGCTATTTCTACCTTAGTATTTCAACTCCTCACCCTTCTTCCTTCCCTCTAACTTCTCCAAGCCCTTTGGACATTGAAGCGAATCATGCGTGCTCAACCTGCTGCCGTCTCCAGACCACATATACCAAGTTTTTCTAACTGTAGAATGAAATTTCAGAATTTTCTGAAATTTATTAAGCTAAATATTTTTTTTGTTAGACAGCTTGTGGAGATGACTAGTGTAGGGATTTAGAAATACTTGGCTGGGTCTAGCTCATATGGGACAATTATTTTATCTTTATTTAATAATATACAATATAAATCAAATATACATAAATTTATATATATATGATATAATATGATATAAATGATATAATATGATATATTTATATGATATAAATCATATATACATAAATTTAACAAGGAAATACTACATAATAACTTTTATAAACTTTGCAATAGCTTAACATGCATTAATTCACATGGACAAAATTACAGTAATGTAGCCTGTACTCCATAATAAAGTGACATCTTCACTACAAAAATACAGTAATGTAGCCTATATGCTTCCTAATCAAATCAGCTCTACAATTAAAATGTGAATTCTGACACTGATAATGACTGTTCTCTCCCAGGCAAACAGCTGGGCAGTGGAGCATTCGGACGGGTGGTAGAAGCGCTGGTGAAGGGACTTGAAGGTCCCAAGTCCGAGACTCTTGTAGCCATTAAGATGTGCAAGAATCAGGCTGATCCGGCGCAGGTGCGAGCCCTGGCTATAGAACTGAAGATAATGATTCATCTTGGCCAGCATCTTAACATTGTCAACCTCCTGGGAGCCAACACCCGTAATATTGGCAGAGGTAACTACTGACTCTTGTCATCGTCAGTTAATTTATAACCATTACACACACACACACATATATTATATATATATATATATATATATATATATATATATATATATATATATATATATATATATATATATATATATATATATATATATATATATATATATATATATATATATATATATATATATATATATATATATATATATATACCAGTATATGTATATCAGAAGGGACTCCTCCCGTGAAAAGGTTAAAACCTAGACTGACAGGGGTAATGAAACACCTTGAAAAGTCCAGTACTCAGATCAAATGGCTGCTAGACTTAAAAGTCATTGGTAGCCGAAGCTATTTCCACCCAATGACCCATCAGCTCCAAGCAGTCACAGACTAGAAGTTCGTTTTCATTGACACAATTCACTTATATGAGAGAACACGAGCCACAATTGTACATTAAGTTGCTCAAACACGCAAGCCGATTATATCAGAAAGGACTCCTCCCGTGAAAGGTTCAAACCTAGACTGACAGGGGCAATGAAACACCTATTATTTCATATTTCCTCCCCTAACTAGGAGAGCTGTGGATTCTGCTGGAGTACTGTCACCATGGCAACCTCCTCTCCTTCATGCATCGTCATCGACAGTGCTTTATCAACCAGGTCGACCCCATCACTGACAACATTGACCCCATGATGCTGGTCCCTGCCGCAGATGGTATAGTGTCCCCCAGTACCAGCTACAGGTGAGGTACAGCGTACTTTGTCCGCCAGTACCAGCTACAGATAGGTTAGGTGGCACCTCCTCCCCCCACTGCTTGGTATTCTGCTCTGATGGACAACACCTTTATCATTCACCTACCTGCTTCAAGCTCTAGTACAGGATAACACTATCTTAGCACTCTTGTAAAGGTCGATGGGGATCACACCTTTCACTATACAAGATGACATAATACCTTTGTCCGTACAGGATACAGGATGATGTCACAGCTTTCAGGATATAGGATAATACTTGTAATGTATGCATGTACGAAGACATTAAACATCTCAGGAGGACATTACCCTCAACTAACCAAAATAAGTAAACAATGTTTATCATGTCACACATAAAATTTTAGTTCATTCTCCTACGTGATAATACTTCAAGCAACTATTTGGTCAAATATGTACTCTTGGACCCCCCCCCCCCAAAAAAAAATACTTTTATATTGCTGAATTAGCAAAATTCATTTTTGAATATGTAACTAAATAACCTAACCTAACCTGTCCAAGTAATCCTAGGTCTAATGCACGCTGTCTTAAGCCTAGTATCGTACATGTATGTGTTATACTATGCCGAGGAATAATTTAGTTTGATTTTTATTATGTTTTCTCTGCCTATAAAGTTAATATACTACGTTTTGGCTAGTCCATCACTACACATTCGACCAAATATTTCCTATAGGTACTATAATTTTAGGAGGATGGTCTGATATATAAGCTACTGAGGTATAAACATCCAGGCATCTTGAGTGTAAACTCTAATTATATGGTAAACCTAAACAGACCCTCAATAATATTGTCTCATGCAGCCTGTCGTCCAAAAATTATAGTATCTATAGTTACTATGGAGGGAAGTGCAAAACGTAGATTGTTGCTGGAAAAATAATAATATTTTGTGCTATTTATTTGGTGGATGGGCCGAGAAAGCCACCAATTAAGCCTAGCTCCTCCAAGGCCTAGCAAAGTACATATATGTTTTAAATTAGGCCTAAGATTCCAAGTTGGGTCAAGGATTGCTTATTTAAGTCTTGGAAAGATTAAGTTTAATTATTAATTTAAGTCCAGTTGTGGGGGAACAGAATGCCTGTGTATAGATTCACTTTAGGCTTGTATCGAGGTCTCTCCAAGGTCAAACTACTGACCCTTCCTAAGATGAAAGCCTACAATTATAGTTGTCTAACTCCCGTGTAACTATTTATTGCCAGGTGAACAGAGGCATTAGGTGAAAAGTGGCCAACCATATCTGTTCCGCCGGGAATCGAACCCGGGATCGGCAATCGTGAGTAGATAACGTGAACTTTGTTGGGAACAACAACATTCCATAATTTGTACATTCCTTCCGTAGCCAGTTCAAATTCTATTTATGTTATACGTTGCTCATGATAACATTTTTATATTTATATGTACTGAGCAGAAGGAACAGCACTCAAGCCGCTAGAAGTGAGAGAACACTATCCGTGCCTGCAGCGTTTCCTTCCTCGAAGTTGACTTCACCTCCCGGGAGTCGGGCAGACGAAGCCTTCGCCTCCTCGACTACGGACTGTTCCCTGTCTCCAGCCACAATCATTAGCCAACCCAGGCAACAAGTTCAAAATCCTCTCTATAATTTTTTTAATCGTCTTTCTCATGAGGCTTCAGAGGATATCAAGATGATGAGCGTTCCTCATGAGGCTTCAGAGGATAACAAGATGGTGAGCATTCCTCCTCATGAGGTTTCAGAGAATAACAACATAGTGAGCATTCCTCCTCATGAGGCTTCAGAGGATAACAAGATGATGAGCGTTCCTCATGAGGTTTCAGAGAATAACAACATAGTGAGCATTCCTGCTCATGAGGCTTCAGAGGATAATAAGATAGCTAGCGTCCCTCCTCGTAAGGCCTCAGAAGACACTTGCTGTGGTCGACCTCAGACAGAGCTAGAGAAGGGCACCGAGAACATGCAGGCAGTTTCCTCCGCCTCTTCAGATCTACTCGGCATGAACACAGACTCGACTGCATTTTCTTCATCACAGATGTCTTCATCAGAACAACCACCAGGTTTGTATTACGAACGAGTAATTGCAAATGTTAACATTTGCAGCTGTCATAAAAAATGAAGTGTTTCAGACAAAATAAGTTAGTTTAGTTCATTTATTATGCACCCCATACCCATTCTTGTGGGCGGTAGTGGAAAGGGTTACAGAGGCACATAATGGGCTCAGGGACTGAACCCAACAATTCATTTAGCTAAGCAAGTTACAATCTTGATGAGCTAGTTACAAAATTCAGTATAAGTCGTCACATCAACATTGGGTTCGAGATCGACCACAAGTAGTTTCTAACTTAAGCAACTGACATGTGGAGAGCTAGTGTCACAATTGATATGTTTGTTCTGCACACCGCCCCCCATCCAGTGGGCAGCGGTGGATAGGTTACAATCACTTAGTTACTACCTACAGCTAGCAAACTGGGGATATTTGGCTAAAATTTCTGGTAGCAGATAATTTTGAATGAAATATTTACACATCATTGATTATAGAATTGTCTCTAATTTCACGTATCTTTTCGCACTCCATCACATAGTGACGGAGGGTGTGCGAATAATTTTGTTGACAGTTTACATTTGGTCAGGTCTACATCGGTAGATAATGAGAATTCCCAGAAAATCAAGATCTTGATTTAAGATCAAGATCAAGGAAAATCAAATAAGAAATCAAGATCTTTGCGAGAGTTGAGCTCGGAGGAACTGGTACTTTGTATCACTGGAAAGACTTTTTGTATTATTTGTATTCTACACAGGTGGGGTACAGGAGTAGATGATTTCTGAGTCCTGTTAACCGGTTTAGAGCTTTTCCTTCCCATAGCTCATCTTAAGCCTTACCTACTAGCTTTTCCTGGAACACGACCCTGCAATCGGCTTACAACTAGGTCCCCAATTACTGCTGGGTGAACAGAGGCGAATAGTTAAGAATTAGTGCCCAGTCGACCCTCCATGTCCAGGGCACGAACTGGGTAAGAATGTATGTGGTTGCGCCTGACATTCACCCTGTGGTCTGTAGCACTTTCATAAACATTTACATATCAGTAGTTACTGTGAGCCTTATATCTTGGTGTCAGGTGAGCATTGGTACAATTGCCTCCAGTATTCCACCTACTTACCTGTCTGGACCTTTCTTCATTCTCAGGCCACTCCTGATATTTTCACTTTTTTGCATTACTATTTTACAGTAGAATAATCCCTTCAAAACTTCTGGAAATCATGATCATGGTAGCAAACGATGAGTTACAATAACGTGGCTGAAGATATGATGACCAAACTATGCATCAGAATATGAAGAAACGACGACGTTTGAATCCGTCCTGGACCATTATCAAGTCGTGTCTCGTTTGATGAATACACACACGACTGATAATGGTCCAGGGGACAGATTCACGAAAGCACTTACGCAAGCACTTACGAACCTGTACATCTTTTCTCAATCTTTGGCGGCTTTGTTTCCAATTAGTAAACAGTTAATGAGCTGCGAACCAGCAGGTGGCTGTTTATAACAATAACAACAGTTGAATGGGAAGTTTTCATGCTTGTAAACTGTTTAATAAATGTAACCAAAGCCGTCAAAGATTGTGGAAAGATGTACACGTTCGTAAGTGCTTGCGTAAGTGCTTTCATGAATCTGGCTCCAGGACGGACCGAAACGTCGTCTTTTTTTCATCTTCTGATGTGTGCTTTGGTCATCATGGTAAAACATTGTGCACTTCTCAATAATTAATTTGTAATACAAGACGTTGTGCAAGTATTTAAACATAATAACTACAGCATTTCAAGTAAAAAAAAAGTTATATAAAATATTTTATATTATACGAAATTGTATATTTTTTGCCTAATGTAAACCTGTGACTTTTTTTTTATCTTTATTTAATAATACACAATATAAATCATATATATATATATATATACATCAATTTTACAAGGAAATACTACATTACATATACAGTAGTATAATTCTTAGTAAACAAGTGTTTCATATTATTACAGATGTTGTTGTTAAAGATTCGTCACCTGGAACAAAAAGTTCTAAGCAGCACGGGCTATGGTGAGCCCGTTTATTGTTACAGAGCATGAAATTTAAACATAATTAACCTTTGAGAGATACCACAAGACCTCCACGTGAAGCAGCAGTATGACGAGGCCCCCTCCCCACCGTGGTAGCCTCATTTTGTAACAGGGATCTATGCTCTAATCAAATTTATATATTTCCTTGATTTATTATTGTACCTCTTCTCTGGAAATCTTTGTCTTATGATAATAAAGTTATGTATTGTGTTCCACAGCATCTCCGGAAGGCCGTAATGGTTATGTATCCGATCCGTTCGGGTGTGACATCGGCAAGGTACCCGGAGTGTCAGCGCCCTTCGCTACCAGTGACCTCGTGAACTGGGCCTGGCAGGTCGCTCAAGGCATGAACTATCTCACTAGCAGGAAGGTAGGGACTTGTATAGCTGAAGAGGCAAGTAGGTCATGTTAAGGTACTCCCAGAGGTAATGCTAGGATACTCCCAAAGAAGGTTAGGCTACGATACTTCTGCAGATCATGCTAGGATACTCCTGCCGATCATGCTAAAATATTCCTGCATAAGGTCATGGTAACAGTCAAAGGGGTTATGATGCTGACCTTTTTAAGAGATGGTGCCTTTTGTGGGTAGCGCCAAGATGTACAAGTTTTCTAAATTTGAGACCATTTTTTCACTTCACCTGTGTTTATCCAGTGATGGGTCTGCCAGGTGAGATGCCCATTTCTGGGGACAGATGCTTGAGAGCGTGAGGTTCTGGGTGAGGTGGTCTGAGGTTAATAACCTTCTCAAATTCATGAGGAAGGGGGGAGGGAGCACGAGAGACATCTCCCGTCACACAGGGTGCAGTCACACCTCCACAGATCTCCAGTATCAGCTCTTGATATTGGTAATGGCTCAAAAGGGCCACCACTTACGGGCTATTCATGCCCGTGCCACCTTTTGGGTGGCTTAATCTTTATCAATCAATCAATCATGAAGAAGGGTGTAGGTTGATACTGTTGACAGCTTGAAGTATGGTTTGGCAGTTACACGTCTGGGTTACATGTTTTTCAGACATCTAAGGATCAGAGTCAATGAACTGTGAAACCACATGGCCCTCACTCACGACTGTCCCACAAGGCTCACATTCCAGAGCAGTGACCTCAGTTCTCAGGCACTCTTGACAACTGGTCTTGTAATCTCGAATGGTCAGAGGCGATTAATGGATAGGGAGGGCCTTTTAGGGCAGGACTCTTCCAGTTAAAATCCAAGATAGGCTGTTCTATAATGAGGGAAGGTTATCACTGAAAGGCCACGCCCCAAATTATAGGTTCCAGGTGCATGTCTGTAGGCGGCCAGGTGGACTGATTTCCTTACACCTCATGGCTCTATTCCCTTACCTGTTTAGCCAGTAAAATCCCAGCTGTCTTAACTAATTTGCAGTTCTCACTAGAATTACAGGTGACGGTGACCAGTTTCACTGTGTTCCCATAAATTATGAATCAGTCATTTAGGGTTATACTCGGTGGCAGTAGCATATTGTACTACTGTGTTATATCTATGTCTCGCTTCATGCAGGTCGGCGTTCAATCCCCGACCCTCCAAGTGGTTGGGCATCATTCCTTACCCCCCGTCCCATCCCTAATCTTTATACTGACCTCTTCCCAGTGCTGTATAGTCATAATGGCTTGGCCCTTTCCACTTGATCGTTCCTCCGCGTTATAATACTAGGATACTCCTGCGGAAGATCATACTAGCATACTCCATCAAATCATGATAGTGTACTCCTTCAGATCATGCTAGTATACTCCTTCAGATCATGCTAGGATACTCCTGCAGAAGATCATACTAGGATACTCCTTCAGATCATGCTAGTATACTCCTTCAGATCATGCTAGGATACTCCTGCAGATCATACTAGGATACTCCTTCAGATCATGCTAGGATACTCCTGCAGAAGATCATACTAGGATACTCCTTCAGATCATGCTAGTATACTCCTTCAGATCATGCTAGGATACTCCTGCAGAAGATCATACTAGGATACTCCTTCAGATCATGCTAGTATACTCCTTCAGATCATGCTAGGATACTCCTGCAGATCATACTAGGATACTCCTTCAGATCATGCTAGGATACTCCTGCAGAAGATCATACTAGGATACTCCTTCAGATCATGCTAGGATACTCCTGCAGAAGATCATACTAGGATACTCTTTCAGATCATATTAGTATACTCACTCCGATCATGCTAAGTGATCATGCAACCCATCTTAACATCACTCTGCCATGTTTTTCCCATACTTTCCTAATATGAGTATACAGGACTCCCCAATAATATGCAAGTTAAGAAACAGCAGTCGACAAAATATTGAAGTTCTTGCAAGGCAGGATCAAGTATAACATTTGGAGTTTAAGGCTCATTGTATGTGATGGTATGTCTAATGCATCTGTTCACCCAGAAGTAAATAGCCGCCTAGGAGTTTGCCGGCTGTTGTGTATATTCCGGAGAAAATTAGTCGTTGACATAAACATATAAACTACATGTAATATAGTATTTTCCTTGTAAATTGATGTGTATATCAATAACCTTTAAATGGTATATTTTATTAAATTAAATTAAATTAAATTTTGTATTCAGGTAAGGTACATACATACAAGGTAAGATAAAAAGTTGATGGATTTATAGATAGAGCTAGTACATACAATGCCTAAAGCCACTATTACGCAAAGCGTTTCGGGCAGCGTTTTAATTTATATATTATTTAATAAAGAGAGAAAATAAAGATTAAGAAAGAGATCACCGGCAGGTGCTTCACGGGGACCTAGCGGCTAGGAACCTTCTCCTAGCAGACCACAACATCGTCAAGATCAGTGACTTTGGTCTATCCCGAGACATGTATAAGAAAGACATCTACATGAAGCAGGGCGATGTATGTATATAATTTTTTTTGGCTCTGTTGTTAATCGTACATTTGAATACAGACACGATATATATATATATATATATATGTATATAATATATGTATATATATATATATATATATATATATATATATATATATGTCGTACCTAGTAGCCAGAACGCACTTCTCAGCCTACTATGCAAGGCCCGATTGCCTAATAAGCCAATTTTCCTGAATTAATATATTTTCTCTAATTTTTTTTCTTATGAAATGATAAAGCTACCCATTTCATTATATATGAGGTAAATATTTTTTTATTGGAGTTAAAATTAACGTAGATATATGAAGTTAGGTTAGGTTAGGTAGGTAGGTTAGGTTGTCGAAACACAATTAATCATGGAAACTTGGCTTATTAGGCAAATCGGCCTTGCATAGTAGGCTGAGAAGTGCGTTCTGGCTACTAGGTACGACATATATATATATATATATATATATATATATATATTATATATATATATATATCCCTCTAACTATTTTCCTAGCATCAGGGCTTAGCTAAAATAGGAATTCTCCAAAACTCATTTTCGTTATTTCAAGGTGAAGAAAAAAATTGAATTACTTTAGAATGTATTACACTTATTTATACAATTTGCACAACGTTTTGAACCTTCATGGTTCATTCTATATATAAAGTGAAGCTTTGTATTGGTGTAATATAAAGAAGGAACATAGTTGGTAATAAATTATTTTGAATGGTCACTTAGAACATAGGAATGTAAGGAAGGAACGCTGCAGAAGCCTATGCCATGTATTTGGCAGGTTATATGTAAACCTAACTTGGTCACACTTGTATACAGCTATTATGGTTTTAAAACATGATAGCTAAAAAGATTAAGAAAACTTAGTCTACAGTATAACATTCCCCAGGAATGTATAGAGCAAGAGGAAACATGACACAGGTGTACACATGGATAACAAGGGTATAATATGGATTATATAAACAGCATTTTATAAATATAAACAAAAATAGAACAGGAAATAATGGATTCAACACTGATAATTTTAGATTTAGAATAAAAATAGGTCATGTTGGTTCGAAAATATTGTTAGAGAGCAAGTTATGATGTAACATCATAGAAGCAAACCTATAGGAGAGTTTCACGCACGGGTTGAGTGCGGGAAGAAGTCCATGATTGGGAGTAGATGGATAAGTACACGAATGGAAGTGGTTGGATAAGTACATGTAGAATATTTTGCTCGTATGTTAACCCAAGTTCTATGGACAGTCGGCATAAATTGTCAGTTAATATTCATTGACAAGTTCTTGTTATTTGCGCTTCTCTTGTAGGATTTAATGCCTATTAAGTGGCTGTCAGTGGAAGCCATCCGGGACCTCTCCTTCAGTGTTCAGAGCGACGTTTGGGCCTTCGGCATCACTATGTGGGAACTCTTTACCCTGGGATCCATTCCTTACCCTGGTATTGAAGTTGACAAGGACTTTCTCCAGCTACTTGAGAGTGGCCATAGGATGGCGAAGCCAAAATACGCTAACCACAAGATGTAAGTACAAGGATATATTGCCAAGCTGGCAAACCTTGAGGCAGCGAGACGAGTATATTATCCAGTATAACACCAGATCTCAATATACTCCTGGAATCCCTACATACACAACACCTTCCCTGACCTTAATAATGAGACTGTGGAACGTTTTTGTTGTAAATCGTTGTGTCCATAAGTTAATATTTTCAGCATTAATATTTTTTCCCAGTTATGACTTGATGTTGGAGTGTTGGGCGTTGGAGCCAAGGAACCGGCCCAGCTTCTTCGACGCCGCCAGCGTCTTGGGGGAGCTAATGCACTCAAATCTTAGAACAGTAAGCTCACATCTGTGGTAGTGTTCATCATGTAGCCTTATTCTTTACCAGTCTGCTGTAGTGTTCATAATGCAGCCTTATTCTCTACCAGTCTGTGGTAGTGTTCATCATAGTGTTTAGGTGCCTGTGTTTAGGTGCCTCGTAGCCTGGTGGATAGCGCGCAGGACTCGTAATTCTGTGGCACGGGTTCGATTCCCGCACGAGGCAGAAACAAATGGGCAATGTTTCTTTCACCCTGAATGCCCCTGTTACCTAGCAGTAAATAGGTACCTGGGAGTTAGTCAGCTGTCACGGGCTGCTTCCTGGGGGTGGAGGCCTGGTCGAGGACCGGGCCGCGGGGACACTAAAGCCCCGAAATCATCTCAAGATAACCTCAAGAAGATCATACACCCTTATTCTCTAGCAGTCTGTGGTAGTGTTCATCATGTAGCCTTATTCTCTACCAGTCTGTGGTAGTGTTCATCATGTAGCCTTATTCTCTACCAGTCTGTGGTAGTGTTCATCATGTAGCCTTATGTAGCCTTATTCTCTACCAGTCTGTGGTAGTGTTCATCATGTAGCCTTATTCTCTAGCAGTCTGTGGTAGTGTTCATCATGTAGCCTTATTCTCTACCAGTCTGTGGTAGTGTTCATCATGTAGCCTTATTCTCTAGCAGTCTGTGGTAGTGTTCATCATGTAGCCTTATTCTCTAGCAGTCTGTGGTAGTGTTCATCATGTAGCCTTATTCTCTACCAGTCTGTGGTAGTGTTCATCATGTAGCCTTATTCTCTACCAGTCTGTGGTAGTGTTCATCATGTAGCCTTATTCTCTAGCAGTCTGTGGTAGTGTTCATCATGTAGCCTTATTCTCTAGCAGTCTGTGGTAGTGTTCATCATGTAGCCTTATTCTCTAGCAGTCTGTGGTAGTGTTCATCATGTAGCCTTATTCTCTACCAGTCTGTGGTAGTGTTCATCATGTAGCCTTATTCTCTAGCAGTCTGTGGTAGTGTTCATCATGTAGCCTTATTCTCTAGCAGTCTGTGGTAGTGTTCATCATGTAGCCTTATTCTCTAGCAGTCTGTGGTAGTGTTCATCATGTAGCCTTATTCTCTAGCAGTCTGTGGTAGTGTTCATCATGTAGCCTTATTCTCTAGCAGTCTGTGGTAGTGTTCATCATGTAGCCTTATTCTCTACCAGTCTGTGGTAGTGTTCATCATGTAGCCTTATTCTCTAGCAGTCTGTGGTAGTGTTCATCATGTAGCCTTATTCTCTAGCAGTCTGTGGTAGTGTTCATCATGTAGCCTTATTCTCTACCAGTCTGTGGTAGTGTTCATCATGTAGCCTTATTCTCTAGCAGTCTGTGGTAGTGTTCATCATGTAGCCTTATTCTCTAGCAGTCTGTGGTAGTATTCAAAATGTAGCCTTATTCTCTAGCAGTCTGTGGTAGTGTTCATCATGTAGCCTTATTCTCTAGCAGTCTGTGGTAGTGTTCATCATGTAGCCTTATTCTCTACCAGTCTGTGGTAGTGTTCATCATGTAGCCTTATTCTCTAGCAGTCTGTGGTAGTGTTCATCATGTAGCCTTATTCTCTAGCAGTCTGTGGTAGTGTTCATCATGTAGCCTTATTCTCTAGCAGTCTGTGGTAGTGTTCATCATGTAGCCTTATTCTCTACCAGTCATGTAGGTAGTGTTCATCATGTAGCCTTATTCTCTAGCAGTCTGTGGTAGTGTTCATCATGTAGCCTTATTCTCTAGCAGTCTGTGGTAGTGTTCATCATGTAGCCTTATTCTCTACCAGTCTGTGGTAGTGTTCATCATGTAGCCTTATTCTCTAGCAGTCTGTGGTAGTGTTCATCATGTAGCCTTATTCTCTAGCAGTCTGTGGTAGTGTTCATCATGTAGCCTTATTCTCTAGCAGTCTGTGGTAGTGTTCATCATGTAGCCTTATTCTCTAGCAGTCTGTGGTAGTGTTCATCATGCAGCCTTATTCTCTAGCAGTTAATAAAGTACAATATTGACATGTAATGCAGTGCTTAGTGTAGTAAGGTCGTTGCCGAAAGGTCCCGGGTTCAATTCTCGCGACAGGATAAAATAAATATAAATTTACTAAAATAATGAGTATAAGTATGAGAAATTGCTGTCATATATTTGTGATATGAGTGGCCGGATCTTGGTAACTATTAAGACTTAAAAAAAACGCGGTTCTTGTCTGAAGAGATCAGGGGATAATGATATTTCTTTGTTTGACTTGAGAATGGTTCAGGACGGACCGAAACGTCGTCGTCCCTTCACCTTCTAGTGTGTGGTCTGGTCAACTTACTTTAGCCACGTTATTGTGACTCATCTTCTGTATGTGATATTTCTTCCTTCCAAGGAGTACGCGGCTCTTAACGACCCTTATCAGCGCATGAACGAGGAGAGGTTCAAGGTGGAGACGGACTTCCTGTCCATGTTGGCCAACCCTGACATCGACCACATCCGCCAAGGTCATTCACCCAACACCCATTACGTCAACATTCAGGTAATCAAAAAAGAGTCTCATTCGAAATGTTTATTTAAACTTTATGAACAAATCCACAAGGGCCGTGATGAGGGTTCGAACCTACGTCTGGGATGATCTCAGACGTAGGGAGTTTAATGTTTAAAATAATTAGAATGGGGCAGTGTGTCATAATTGAAGAGGACTGCGAGTGTGTATTTAAAAACAGGGATAGAACTCTTTCGTCTATCTTCCAGGTAGTTTTAGGAAAACTGTTGAATATCATACTTAAAGCGATAATCGTAAATGTCATTCATATTCAGCTTGGAAAACACACATTAACGCAACCCATCCTCCTGAAGTGGCAGTACTTCTGACAAGTGTGACAAGTATGGACAGCACCATAGTATGTAGTGATGCTCCACCAGAAAGTGGACTGATCTTGTATTACTGTATCTGGACAAACTGTTTGGTTTATAGCTTTAGTTTTGGGCGGATAATAAAACTGAAGGTACAAAAAATGAACTTTCTGGTGGTCCACATCACTCCTTACTGGTACTTCCGGCCAGGTAGTTACTGTGAGGACCGTCACTCAAGAAGGCGGGCTAGGCTGCTCACAACATTATTTTACAAAAGGATGATCATGTTTGACAAATTTACTATCATTCACTTACAAATATTTGAAGAAGTACAAAATGTTAAAGATTACGATATTTTTCAGTACAGCCACAACTGTAATGATTTATTTAAATCACCAACGAATAAGACCTATAACTCTAATTCTATACTTAAACGCTTCTGTTCTTCTATAAGCAACTTTTGTAACTTAATATTGTATTTATTGAAAATGAAAATGGTAGTTGCCGGAAATAATACTTTTTTCTTTAATTAAAATTTCTCGTAAAAATATAGGACGCTTATAATTCTATTATTCAAGCAGTTTAATGTTCATTAAGTAGAGATATATTTATATAATTATCAAAAGTTAACATAAGAATAAAAATTCATTTTAATAAGGGTGGCTGCAGAAGCCCTATTGGCCCATACGAGGCAGCTCCTATATATCCACCCAAAGTTGTCTGTTGTTGAGTGTAAAGTTATATGACGCAGCGTGCAGGTGAGGGACCACAAGGCGGGAGCAACACAGCACACAGACCTCCAGCAGGACTCGAGTACTCTCCGGAGGGCCCCGGAACACCTTCCCCTCAACCTCCGTCTTCTGAGTATGGTGACAATTATCTACCCATGAGCGCCTCCATCACCTTTCCCAACTCCAACAATATCTTCAGCCCACGTCCCAATACTGAGCCCAGGTTTGTGGATATTCTCAGTATTTGTCTCTCTTTTTTTTTGCTGGCCTCAAGTCTGAAAATCTAAATATTTTTACAGTATTTTGTTGCAGAATAATTACATGCACAAAGGTGTTGGTTTGAGTGAAGTGAACACAAAGTACTGGCAATACAGGGAATCACCAAGAGAATCGTACACCATTGCAGATAAGGTACTGCTTGTAAAAGGCTTTGTCACATCTAACAGGGATAGAGCTTATAAAATGATAAGTTATATATATATATATATATATATATATATATATATATATATATATATATATATATATATATATATATATATATATATATATATATATATATATATATTATTAAATATGACCGAAAAAGTAAGATTAATAATTCTAACACGAATTTTCTCAATCTTTCGTACATTACGCTTCACTGTTGGAGGTAAATCAAAAATCAATTCTCCAAAATTCATTTTTATTTCTAGTCTGACGCGACACGGGCGCGTTTCGTAAAACTTATTACATTTTCAAAGACTTTAGTTCACAAATACACAACTGATTAGAACTTACGTATCTCTGATTTTATATCTACATTTGAGTGAGGTGGGAGGGGTGATGTGGCATTAACACAAGACAGAACAAGAGGGGATATTAATAGGGTATTAAAAGTATCAACACAAGACAGAACACAAACAATGGGTATTGAATAGAAGTGTTTGTAGAAAGCCTATTGGTCCATATTTCTTGATGCTTCTATATTGGAGCGGAGTCTTGAGGTGGGTAGAATATAGTTGTGCAATAATTGGCTGTTGATTGCTGGTGTTGACTTCTTGATGTGTAGTGCCTCGCAAACGTCAAGCCGCCTGCTATCGCTGTATCTATCGATGATTTCTGTGTTGTTTACTAGGATTTCTCTGGCGATGGTTTGGTTGTGGGAAGAGATTATATGTTCCTTAATGGAGCCCTGTTGCTTATGCATCGTTAAACGCCTAGAAAGAGATGTTGTTGTCTTGCCTATATACTGGGTTTTTGGAGCTTACAGTCCCCAAGTGGGCATTTGAAGGCATAGACGACGTTAGTCTCTTTTAAAGCGTTCTGTTTTGTGTCTGGAGAGTTTCTCATGAGAAGGCTGGCCGTTTTTCTGGTTTTATAGTAAATCGTCAGTTGTATCCTCTGATTTTTGTCTGTAGGGATAACGTTTCTATTAACAATATCTTTCAGGACCCTTTCCTCCGTTTTATGAGCTGTGGAAAAGAAGTTCCTGTAAAATAGTCTAATAGGGGGTATAGGTGTTGTGTTAGTTGTCTCTTCAGAGGTTGCATGGCTTTTCACTTTCCTTCTTATGATGTCTTCGATGAAACCATTGGAGAAGCCGTTATTGACTAGGACCTGCCTTACCCTACAGAGTTCTTCGTCGACTTGCTTCCATTCTGAGCTGTGGCTGAGAGCACGGTCGACATATGCGTTAACAACACTCCTCTTGTACCTGTCAGGGCAGTCGCTGTTGGCATTTAGGCACATTCCTATATTCTACCCACCTCAAGACTCCGCTCCAATATAGAAGCATCAAGAAATATGGACCAATAGGCTTTCTACAAACACTTCTATTCAATACCCATTGTTTGTGTTCTGTCTTGTGTTGATACTTTTAATACCCTATTAATATCCCCTCTTGTTCTGTCTTGTGTTAATGCCACATCACCCCTCCCACCTCACTCAAATGTAGATATAAAATCAGAGATACGTAAGTTCTAATCAGTTGTGTATTTGTGAACTAAAGTCTTTGAAAATGTAATAAGTTTTACGAAACGCGCCCGTGTCGCGTCAGACTAGAAATAAAAATGAATTTTGGAGAATTGATTTTTGATTTACCTCCAACAGTGAAGCGTAATGTACGAAAGATTGAGAAAATTCGTGTTAGAATTATTAATCTTACTTTTTCGGTCATATTTAATAATATATGTCTACAGGAAAGACTGCTACCAAAATATACTATATATATATATATATATATATATATATATATATATATATATATATATATATATATATATATATTAGTATATATATATATATATATATATATATATATGAATGGTCCCCAGGACTATATGCGAATGAAAACTCACACCCCAGAAGTGACTCGAACCCATACTCCCAGAAGCAACGCAACTGGTAACTACAGGGCGCCTTAATCCGCTTGACCATCACGGCCGTCAAAAGGAAGTGATAGCCGAGGCTATTTGAGCCACTTCCCCGACGGCAACTCGGATGGTAATCTTGGGCATAGCATTTCACCAAATCACCTCATTCTTTGGGGCACACGTGAGGAACACAAATGCGAACAAGCCTGAATGGTCCCCAGGACTATATGCGAATGAAAACTCACACCCCAGAAGTGACTCGAACCCATACTCCCAGAAGCAACGCAACTGGTAACTACAGGGCGCCTTAATCCGCTTGACCATCACGGCCGTCAAAAGGAAGTGATAGCCGAGGCTATTTGAGCCACTTCCCCGACGGCAACTCGGATGGTAATCTTGGGCATAGCATTTCACCAAATCACCTCATTCTTTGGGGCACACGTGAGGAACACAAATGCGAACAAGCCTGAATGGTCCCCAGAACTATATGCGAATGAAATGGCTCAAATAGCCTCGGCTATCACTTCCTTTTGACGGCCGTGATGGTCAAGCGGATTAAGGCGCCCTGTAGTTACCAGTTGCGTTGCTTCTGGGAGTATGGGTTCGAGTCACTTCTGGGGTGTGAGTTTTCATTCGCATATAGTCCTGGGGACCATTCAGGCTTGTTCGCATTTGTGTTCCTCACGTGTGCCCCAAAGAATGAGGTGATTTGGTGAAATGCTATGCCCAAGATTACCATCCGAGTTGCCGTCGGGGAAGTGGCTCAAATAGCCTCGGCTATCACTTCCTTTTGACGGTCGTGATGGTCAAGCGGATTAAGGCGCCCTGTAGTTACCAGTTGCGTTGCTTCTGGGAGTATGGGTTCGAGTCACTTCTGGGGTGTGAGTTTTCATTCGCATATAGTCCTGGGGACCATTCAGGCTTGTTCGCATTTGTGTTCCTCACGTGTGCCCCAAAGAATGAGGTGATTTGGTGAAATGCTATGCCCAAGATTACCATCCGAGTTGCCGTCGGGGAAGTGGCTCAAATAGCCTCGGCTATCACTTCCTTTTGACGGCCGTGATGGTCAAGCGGATTAAGGCGCCCTGTAGTTACCAGTTGCGTTGCTTCTGGGAGTATGGGTTCGAGTCACTTCTGGGGTGTGAGTTTTCATTCGCATATAGTCCTGGGGACCATTCAGGCTTGTTCGCATTTGTGTTCCTCACGTGTGCCCCAAAGAATGAGGTGATTTGGTGAAATGCTATGCCCAAGATTACCATCCGAGTTGCCGTCGGGGAAGTGGCTCAAATAGCCTCGGCTATCACTTCCTTTTGACGGCCGTGATGGTCAAGCGGATTAAGGCGCCCTGTAGTTACCAGTTGCGTTGCTTCTGGGAGTATGGGTTCGAGTCACTTCTGGGGTGTGAGTTTTCATTCGCATATAGTCCTGGGGACCATTCAGGCTTGTTCGCATTTGTGTTCCTCACGTGTGCCCCAAAGAATGAGGTGATTTGGTGAAATGCTATGCCCAAGATTACCATCCGAGTTGCCATCGGGGAAGTGGCTCAAATAGCCTCGGCTATCACTTCCTTTTGACGGCCGTGATGGTCAAGCGGATTAAGGCGCCCTGTAGTTACCAGTTGCGTTGCTTCTGGGAGTATGGGTTCGAGTCACTTCTGGGGTGTGAGTTTTTATTCATATATATATATATATATATATATATATATATATATATATATATATATATATATATATATATATATATGCGGAAAATCCACAGAGAAATATGAAATGAGGTGAACGTTTCGGCTTTGTTAAAGCCTTTGTCAACAAAAGACTGATATATATATATATATATAAAAGCTTATAAAAGCTATATATATATATATATATATATATATATATATTATTAAATATGACCGAAAAAGTAAGATTAATAATTCTAACACGAATTTTCTCAATCTTTCGTACATTACGCTTCACTGTTGGAGGTAAATCAAAAATTAATTCTCCAAAATTCATTTTTATTTCTAGTCTGACGCGACACGGGCGCGTTTCGTAAAACTTATTACATTTTCAAAGACTTTAGTTCACAAATATATATATATATATATATATATATATATATATATATATATATATATATATATATATATATATATATATATATATATATATATAATATGCCTGTGTCACTCATGCCCGTGTCACCTCCTGGGTGGCTTAATCTTCATCAATCAATCTTTGCAAATCTAAAGAAAAATTGAATAAAATGGCTGTGCAAACAGTTTCTCGAACAAAATACATTGCAATTGTTAAAAGATACACACACATAAAATCTCTTTACCTAAAGAACATTCAGCGCTAATAATTGTATAATCTGTGTTAATTAACATTATGACAATGTCTACGCACAATACTGCTCCTGTGACTAATGCGTCATTAATGAGCTGTAATTTTCCATGTCAACTTTCCCAACCAAGAGATGTACAACCATTCATAAATACACTCTTTGATTTGTTTGAATTCATAAAGGTGTGAGAGTCGATGACAACAGTGGTGCCAGATTGGGCTACAAATAGCGAATTGGGCTACTTTTGAGAGCCCCGCGCTCCCAAATTTTTAATTTCGCTACTTGCTACTTTTTGGCCTAATTTAAAAGCAAGATATACTAATTTGGGCTATTAATGTTAAGAATGTACGATTGCGAGTTACATGAAAGTAACTAAGCTATAAATAATTGTAATTAATAATAATTGTAAATATTAATTAATACTAAATAATATTATTTAATAAATTAGTCCCAATTCAATGCAGAGTTTTCTTCCAAGCACAGAAACTTGTAAATAAAAATACAAGATAATAGATAGATCGATAAATAAATAGACAAC